GAGACATTAAAACCCACCTGGATCCTGTGTGATGTGCTCTGGGTGATCCTGCTTTGGCAGGGGGGTTGGACTGGATGATGTTTCAAGGTCCCTTCCAACCCCTCAGATTCTGTGATTTTAAGAGCAGCACAAATGAAGTCAGTGCTCCAAGGAGATGCAGCTACACCCCGACCTTAAGCTCTTCTGAAATAAGTGGGTCTCTCCACAAAGTGTCCAGCCTTAAAACAGGGGTTAAAGAAAACTGCCAGCTCTTATGTGTGAATTCATAGCCTGACTATTCTCTTTTAATCTTTCTAGGAGCTTTTTGTTCAGTACTTGGCTACATACTCCTACAAACATGGCAGAGGCAAGGAGAAGAATGCTCTCACTTACAGTGACCTGTCTCACACTGCAGAAGAGTGTGAGACCTTTCAGTTCCTTGCAGGTATCTGTGCATGGTGGTAAATCCAGGATGACATTTGGAAAATGAAGTCTTGCCCTTATTGAATTTGTTTGTCAGGATGCCATTCACCTGGTTATTAATCTCCTCTATAACATTCAGCACAAACTCATAAACTACATCACTGAAACCCTTTCTTTGTGTATAGGGATTTTTCTGGTGCTTCAAAATTATAAAAGGCTAATTAGTTCTCAGCCTTAAGCATTTCTTAAATTCCAGCAACTCTATAGGAAAGCTTTCAGCCTATAAAATGAGATGGCTGCACATCTTTGTGTGAGAAGTTATGTGGCCCCAAAAATGACATATTTAAAAGTAATTAATCATATGATTCCTCTCTCTTTCTATATATCTCTATACACATGTGCCTTGCCTGCACACACATGTTTTCCTGATGCTTGGATTTCTGTTGGAACACTTGGAAGAGATTTCTAGCCCAGTCTTTCTGGGTTCCCCCAGACATATGTTCACAGTTCTGCTTTGTCTCAGGTCCATCATTATTGCCCTGCACAATTATCTTCCCTTAATGCAGATAAAACATTTCCACAGGGCATAAAAGGGATGGCTGGCTTGTTCAATCTAAGGCAGTTGAGTAACTGAACACTCTGTTTTACATCCCATCAATAATGCACATGAGCAGATAGTAAAGACAAGTTGCTAGGAATCATTCATACCATACATTCCATATCTTTGCTCACCTGTGCCATAACTAGGTGTTTATTGTTACAGCCACACAGGTCAGACTAACTTACCTGGTTATTCAAGAATAATGTTTTTAATAAAGCCTCTTGTAGTTCATTTCAGTAGTGGTACAAAGGCAACAGTATTAATGAGGCAACCAGATATTCACACTGGTTATAAAAGAAACAATTCTACCTTCCAGATATCTTGCCAAAGAAGATCCTTGCTAGCAAATACCTAAAAATACTTGAAAAAGAGAAGCGAGAAGGAGAAGTGAGGGAAGATGATGAGGAGGATGAGGAGGAAGAGGATGAAGACGAACCTGTTGATGAAGATGCTGGATCTTAAGACCAGCAGAGAATTGCTTCATAGTTGATCTATTTTCTGTTGTATAAAGGATGATATTTTTGTGACTGAGGATCCAGATGCTGGATGTATTTATGCACTGAGCCATCTGCTTTTGCTTTGTTGGAGAAGTCTAGAAATGGAACTTCGTGCTTGCTGAAGAGTGGAATTCCTCCCTCAGAAACATGAGAAGAGCCTGTGTCAACTTGGCAGCAGAACTTGCTCGGATCATTTAAAATTACTTCTTCAGACAATCATTATCCACATTTAAATTGTTTTTTTACGAGCAGCTTTCAGTCCAGAAGCTCTTTTGCCCTCTGACCAGAAGCCAGTCCTTCCCCAGTTGGTGTTTCTCCTCAAGAGGGGCAGGTGAGGTGATGAGGGGACACAGTGCTTTACACAGTCCCTGCTGCCCTCAGGGACTCCCCCTGGGGAGTCAGACCCTCCCTTAGGTTTCTGGGGCAGTTCCAGGTCATCAGCCATGGACCAAGCCTACTCCAAACATCCTCTGCAAGGCAGCCTGCAGACCCACCTTGGCACAGGAACAGGGCAGGGGGTGAGATCCATCCCACCAGCTCCTCTGGGTCTCTGGCTGCAGGGGTGAAAAGCACAGGTGTTAGACAACCATGTCAGTATGTGCATCTAGAACCTTATTTCCCAGTGATCTCCTACCTCTGCAGTTTGTCCACGGTGCTCTGCCACAGCTGCAGTCCTGTTCAAATTTGGATCATTGAGAAGGAGCAGCTGCTTCACCACATGAGTGACAGAGCTGGATTTTTCATTGGGATTGTTTTGGGATTTATTTTTTTTTTTTACTACAGAAAAGGTCACCGTCCTGTGTAGAACATTATATGCAACTTTTTAAAATAAATGTTTTGTATGAAAAGTGACAGTTGGTGCAGAGACTGTGTCTCCTTAGCTCTCCTGGCCACCTGCTTGTGCAGCCAGCCCCATTTTTCATTGTGCAGAACCCTCTGTAAAAGCGTTTTTTAAGCCAGTCCTGGAGCCAGGGGTAGATTGTGATGGACAAGAGTGATGAGAGGTGCCAAAATAGCCCTCAGGGAGCGTGTGTCTCCCATCATTCACCATCTGCTGGGACTGACCATCCCTGGATTTCTGGCACTTCCCTTCAGCCTGTCAGCAGGTTGTTACCACTGACAGAACCTCTGCTTTTAGACACCCTAAAAAAAGAAGCAGAAAAAAAAGCCCAAACATGTTAATGAGTCACTGATCCATAGACCAGCACCTCATGAGCCTGGGGTGTCTCAGCCAATGTGTCCAGAACAAGAACTGACACCACGACCCAGTCCCCATGTGCCTGTGCTGACACAACTGGGAGCACTGGTATTCTGGGACCAAAGACAAAATATTTTTGCTGGGACATGACAGATGATGGCCAGTCCTGTGAGGGTCAGCTGACCTTGGACATTCTGCTGCTGTGGTAAGAAGCTTAGCCATGTTATTCAGCTGGGCTGTGTTCACCACCAGCAGAGCTGTCACCAGCAGCTGCCACCGTCCTGCAGCCTCATGCCCAGCAGAGGGGAACATGTCATTTGTGTCTTGGACCTGTAGCCCAAGCAGTGGCTGTAGAGCCTGAGCTGAGCTGGGCTGCTTGGGAAGAGACCTTGGATGAACCAGGTCCTCATGCTGGTCCTGGCAGGTGCTTTCTCCCTGTCGTGAGGCTGCAGAAACCTGCAGTGTGCAGCTGGGGAGCAGCACAGGCTCTCGGCTCCTGGATCTACACAGCTGGTGTCTTTGAATGTCAGACAAAACATGCAATTGGGAGGGAAAGCATAAGAGTGAAAAATCCAGCCAGAGGAGTGATGCTCTTGAAGGAAGGTCACCCACAAGGAAAAGCAGAAGGATAAATCACTCCAGCTCCAGCGGCCCCAGTGCAGGACACAGCTGAGCCCTTCAGCCAAGCTGGGGGCGCCGGGGGAAGGGGGGAAACAGGTTTCCCCAAGGGCCAAAGGCGGCAGAGGAGGAGGAAGCCAAGGAGGGAGCAGCAGCAGAGGGAGCCCGAGGGAGCAGCAGGAGGAGGAGGCAGGAGCAGGGAGAGGGGCGAGGAGGGAGGAGCGGCTGAGAGGGGCTGGAGGGACTGACCGACACCCCCAGCCCAGCCCCGGCATGAAGGTGGGAATGGGGAGCTGGAAGGTGTTTTTAAGGTTGTAATCTATTTAAATTGGCAGTACATGATGTTAATTTGCCCAAAGTCTAGTCTGTTTTGCCCATGACAGTACTTGAGAAGTGATCTCCCTGTCTTTACCTCAGCCCATCGGCTTTCTGATCCTCTTTGCTCCCTCTGTCCTGGTGAACAGAGGCAGTGAGCACCCGGGGGTACATCTGGCCCCAGGGCCAACCTTCCACAGCCAGAAATGCCAAAGCAGCACATTAAAAAACACTGGGCTGCACCCTAGAGGAGATAAATTTCAAGTGAGATCAGATGTGCAAATCCACTAACAAATACATTGGGATGCTAATACAAGATCTCAAGTGACACATCCCAGGCCACAGGCAGCCCACCTTTATCCTTTGCAGTAACCAAAAGCCACATAAGCTGTTACAAAGCTCCAGCTACCAACCACAACACTTAACATGAACTTCCTCAAGCTGGTCCAAGAAGTGACTGAGGAGCATTCAAACCAAAGCAAGCACACAGACTCTTACTCTTAGCGCTCCCCACTGCTGCTGAGGATCTTGAAGTGATGCACAGCTTGGGCCTCTGCAATCCCTCTGCTTTGCCACGACTGCCCCTGCTGACTGTGAAGGACATTTTTCCTTCTGCCAGCCCTTCAGGTGAGGAGCTAACCACTCACAGGCCATGCATCAAAACCAGGCACAGCCTGGGCTTGCCGTGGAAAGCAGCCAGCTGTGCTTACAAGACACATGGCTGCTTCTTCTTTGTTGTTTTGGTTTGGTTTTTTTCCAAGTTCGAAGTTGCCAAATGTTGCTGCCCTGGAGGGAAGCAAGCTGTGAGGCAGGAAGCTGGTGGTGCTGCTAGGGATATCTTGGCCTGTTTTAAGGTGTTCAGGGATTTTAGACAATGGAACACAGGCCAGGGGCCTGCCCAAGATTAATCTATCATTATATACAAATATTTTCTTTCTTTTTCTCTTGTATTCACTTGTGAGATCTTTCCCCCCCAGCCAAGGCTGCCCAGAGGAGATGAAACTAGCAGGAA